AATTGGACCGATAAAATGTTTAAAATGGTCATTTATGTTTTATTTAATCAGTTTTTGATATTTATCCACCATTAAATACATCCACTCATATATGTTAATAAGGCAGACTTCGCAATTAATTGTTTTAATAAACTTAAATTCATTGCTAGAGGCAATACATCTGGCACCGCTGTTTCAATGATACTTTCACGATTGCTAGCAAAGCAGTAAAGTAGAAATGGTTTTCTTTGTGATGAATTTTGTTCACCAAGAGTTTTGTGAAGCAGTTGTTTTGAGTTTCGTGTATTCGATTGCATTTAATTGTGCTATACTTCGAAGAACACAAGTAAGTAAATACAGTGAATGTGTTTTACCCAGGAAATTTTCGTGTTTTACCCACGAAATACATGTTTAAATTTTCGTATTCATAATATATGAATGTATGTGTAAACTAATGATGATGATTTTATGATATTTAAAAAAGAAGAAGAACACAAAATTACTTACCCTTTGTAGAACCTTAAGTCACATCAAAGATGTTTTAGATTGTTATTTCAAAAAGTCAACTTTCCTTGAAAATCAATGGGGCAAGAATGCCCACCCTAATGGGGCAAAACGGCCATTTGTTTATTTGTATATTGAAAAATTCAACTGACAGTTATTGTCTAAATGAATAAAACTTAAATTAAAGTTACGGTCAACGGTAAGGAAAAGGGCAAGTAACCGATGACGAAACACGTCAGCTGATACATTGAAGTCGAACATATAAAAGAAAAATTATTTAACTGACAGAACTCTGCAGGTAAATTATCAAAATTCCAAATCTGAACGACTACCTGTTAGAACAGGAGTTATTTATTTAATTAAATCTTCAACATAATGTTGTACAGATATTTTCTAGGCTAGGTGTCGAATTCTATGTCTGTAAGTAGACTTACTAATGTTAAAATCATATACATCAAACGTTTCATTAAACACACGACAGCACAAAGTCCACGGTTCGATGAGTCCATAGTTGGTCCGATGGGTAGGTTGCCACAGAAGCGTGTAACTGCGTAGAACTCTTTGAGGAGCATTGATGTAGGTTTGGCTCACAAGAGAGTTGCAATCCACGTCACCGTTAAGCAATCCAAACACAAAGCATCGCTGAAGTAGTTTCCTCCTTGCTGCCAACGTGTCCAGGTCAATCAGCCTACACCGTTCTTCGTAAGGCGGTAAATTTACCGAATCGTTCCAGGGCAGAACACGTAAAGCGTATCTTACGAAGTTTCACTGAATGGCTTCGATTCTGTTAGCTTGAATAGCGTAAAAGGGTGCCCACATGGAGTTCCTCAGGGTTGCATTCTTGGGCCTATATTGTATAACATTTTTGCCTCAGGATTGTCACAATTCTTTGTTCATCGATGACACAGGCATTTTCGCTAAAGGAAGATATTTGTAGCAGACTGCAGAAAAGTTTAGGTATTTTCTCTTCTTATTTACAAAAATGGAAGATTTCTCCCATCGCTTCCAAAACTCAACTTATAATAAGCCTAGAGCTTCCTTTTTGAAACCTAGTAGTAGTCACATAGTCACTAAGAACGGAGTTCCAATTTCCTGGTCAAACCAAGTGAAGCATCTTGGATTAGTACTAGACCAAAAATTAACTTTTAAAGATCACATTGAGAGCATTCAAACCAAATGGAACAAGTAGGCAAAATGGATGTAATGTCGACCTAAATGCCCCTAATTTGGGCTCATACACAAATTCAGCAATCGACTAATTTTCAATAGCGATCAAAAATATCCATTAGTACCGTCCCAATGACGCATCTAGATAGAATTTATAAATAGCAGATTTTTAGCGATGGGCTCAATCTTAGATTCCCATTTCCCCTATATAAAATGTTTGTATTCCCTTATAAACAGGAAATCCAAAGTTTTCCTGATGAATAAACTTCTAATTTTAAACAAGTGTTTAGACCGGCCATGCTTTAAGCTGTTGCACTACCAGGAAACCAGCACTTCAACGAAGAATTGATTTTGAAGTTGCCTCCTTGGTATAGTTCTTCCGAGGTACATAGAATTTCGAATGTTGAGACTTTAGAGCAAATTTTCAACAAAATTATTAATAATACAGGCAAAAATCGTTGCAATCCTCAATAGCAACGAGTAAAAGTTACTCACTCACTGAGTAACCCCACTTTTTGCATTTTTGATTCGAATTCGACTCAGTCACTGAGTTACTATCATTGGCCGTATAGGGTATTTCTCAAATGTATTGATATTAAAATATCTCGATTTCCACGATCTAAAAACACATCCTGTTTCCGCAGGTTCGAAAATGGAAGGAGTCTGGATCGAAGATGAAAATGTGCACGGCACGCCCAGGGTGGCAAACTATGAGCTTTCGAAGACCAATGTACAAACAATCTTCCTATCAGATCAATTGCAATCTCGTAGACATTTTGGATGTCGATACCAATCGCAAGGTTGTTCGCGTTGAGCCACTAGTTAACATGGGTTAGTATTTTATACTGTATTATTATTATTATTATGATTGATTATGCCTTTTAATGCAATATGCCATTTACCTTCCCCAAAGGTCAACTCTCAGAAACTTTGGCACCGCTTGGATGGACTATCCCAATTGTACCTGAACTTGATGATCTGACCGTTGGTGGTTTGGTTATGGGAACTGGCGTAGAATCCAGCTCGCACATCTATGGACTCTTCCAACACATTTGCTTATCGTACGAGCTGGTGCTAGCTGATGGAAGCGTGGTCAAGTGTTCAGAAACGGAAAACTCTGATCTTTTCTATGCTGTTCCGTGGTCGTATGGAACGCTAGGATTATTAACGGCCGTTGAAATTAAAATTATTCCGGCAACAAAGTAATTGATTGGCATTCCAATATATTTCATTACCGCTCAACTAATTAGCATTTTTAATTTTTCAGATACATTCGCTTGACTTATGAACCAGTTGTTGGTCGCCAGAATATTGTCGATAAATTCGAAAGTGCTTGCCGAGATACGAAGAAGAATCACCACGTCGAAGGACTGCAGTATACTCTCGACGAAGCTGTAATTATGACCGGTGAAATGGTCCAAGACAGTGAGGTCGAACTGGACAAGGTTAACGATATTAGTAAATGGTACAAACAATGGTTCTTTGTGCACGTACGTGACATTCTAAAACGCCGAGAAAAGACTTTCGAATATATTCCTCTGCGGGAATACTATCATCGCCACTCGAGAGCTTTGTTCTGGGAAATTCAGGTAAATGGACAATAAGAATCGCCACAATGTAGCCATCGGAGTCTTCTACCTTTGTTTACCTTACCATTCCTGGTTCAACGTCCTTCGATGAGACCGGTCCGGTCGAGGAAATCTTTCGGGTAGAAAGATCATCGTTGTGCTTGCTGGAGTGTGAAATGGTCAAGATCCTAAGAGTTCTGACATTGATGACATTTTTTTTTTTAAGTCTGATGCTTGAAAAAATGGATGATACTTTGAAATTTCATGGATTATCTGAATCCTTAAAATTTCAAAGACTCATAATTGCTTTTAAGTTCCAAGCTCCAACATTCTTCGATGATAGCTGAGTTTGAAAAATGTTGAAGATACCGTAAATTTTTGACTATCTCAGAATTTTGAAAACTTTGTATTTAATTGTTGAAATTTTCTCCCTTCTCATTACTTCTTTATTATATTCTTTCCATATCCAGAGAGTATCGCAACAAAATATCCATATTTGAGGTATCCCATGTCTCAATCCCAGAAAGCAGATAAGAAAATTCCCAAAATCTTGAAAGTAATTTTTAAATTATGTCTGAATTATCTTAATAATTGAAATTCAATGCCGAACCATTCAGTTTTTCACAGAATTCAGCTCAGAATTCTCATGTAAATTCCCTAGGAACTCTTCCTAGGCATTCCCTCCGCATCATATCATATATCTCAACTTGCTCTTAAATTCATTAAGATTATCCTGAACATTTCGTATGAATTCTCTCCAGCATTCCCTAAGTATTCTCCCAAAATGTCATTGGAATTCATCTCAAATTCCCCTGGAACACTCTTTTGAAAAAAAATCTTAGAATTTTTTTGAAATCGTCCTTGTAACTACCCTCAAGATTGGTGTTCACCTTACAATTCCTTTAAAACTATAGGTTTTTAAGGAATAGATAGGGAACCTGGGGTAATACAAAAGCCTCTAAAGAAATGATCGATTTTCAATACTTATTAAACAAAATTATAGATTCCTTTTTAATGTATTTATTCATTAGTATAAATAACCATCTCGATGTTACTACAAACATCCTATGGACATATGAATGTATTATCGTGAAAATAATTTTACAAAATATCTTCTCAAAATAGCATTATTATTTACCGCAAGCTCCACTGATAAAACACAGCACAGTGGTCCAAAATGGGAATTTAGCCGGAGTAGTAATCCTGTAATATTTAGAAATTTGGTATATTTGATAAAGTTTTTCTGCTTGAAAAGTGGTCGTAAACATTAGGGTGGCCCTCAAAATAATTGATATTCAAAAAATAACCTTTTATTTTTGAAAATAAAGACATATAATGTTCAGGAAAATTATAGCTAAGTTAATTTTAAGCAACTTTTTGTAAGAAGTCAATTGATCACTTCTGGATGGCGTTTTCCCTGACATCTGAAAGCTTGCGTGAATTACTCCAATTTTGGACAACTATCGTCCAATCTCAATTCTTAATTGTTCTTCTACATGACAAGTTGTACTCGGCTGTCCTATCCATAATCTCCGAGTACCACCATGGATTTATGAAGAAAAGCTCTACAATTACCAATTTGATGACCTACACTAACACCAACCGATGAACACTCGTGTTTATTTCAGTTACCGTGTGGACGTAATTTGTGATAAGCCCCGGTCCCTTTCAAATTGTATCATTATTTATGTACGGTCCTTATATTTGAAATGACGTTTCACATTCATCTACACGTTAACCAGCGTAAACACATTAATGTGTAAAATTAAAAGGAGCCTACTCATAAAATTTAAACAACAAAATTAAGTACCGACATCGGTGCTGTAGTGGTAAGCGTGATTACCTCTCACCCCAGCAGGCCTGGGTTCAATCCCAGTCGACGCTGCTGGGATGTTCTGAGGCATAACATCTCTGATCGCGCCGAGGATCACGCCTTCCTTCATGTGATGCACTCTCATTGGTGGAAAAATGACAGCACAGCGAACAAAAATAATCGATTAGTTGTTAATCGGGTAATTAAAAAATGGGACATTTCTGATTTTGGTGTGATTATTTTGATAAAAAAGTGCGCAAAATTTCATCTCTGCCGAGGGGGCAGCAAAAGCACAAAATAACCTTGCATGGGGGGGGGGGGTATTCATTGGATGAAAGGTACCGTGGAAGAGGACACTAAAATAGAAAGTTTTTCTTCCGACAGTTTCATCTTAGTATTCTTCTTTGCTAACACTCTGATTGGTAGCATCGAGAAGCGTCAGCGAGTTGATGCAGTGTATATTTACTTCTCTAAAATGGACCCTACACGATTGCTTTTATTGACAATAACCGTATTGTCAATACATTCTATATTGACGTCAATACATCGGTATTGACAATAATTCTGTATTCACATCATCAATATTATTGTCAATAATTCCCCTTCGCGTCAATATATTGATACGTGTGGGGTTCGTTTAAAGGTTCATGATGCTAGATGCGATGCGTTCAGTATACCATCAGGTGCTCCTCAAGGGAGTCACCTGGAACCTCTCATATTCATTTTATTTATAAACGCCGTGTGTGACTACCTGTAAGCTGTTGTATGCAGATGATTTGAAACTTTACCGTGTGATCAACTCGATCGTTAATTGTTGCGCACTTCAAACCGATATCGAGCAACTGACATTGTGGTGTCAAACGAAAGCAATGGTAGCAAACACAGCCAAGTGTAAAGTAATTACCTTCAGCCGTGATCAATCACCGATAAGATTCGAGTACTCGATGAATCATTCGCTGCTTGATAGAGTAAGCTCCATTAAGGATCTTGACCATCTTAGATGGAAAACTGAGGTTTGATGAGCACATATCCATGACAATTGCAAAGGAAATTTCCATACTTGGATTCCTGCGTCGCAATACAGCACAATTCGACAACGTGCACGTCATGAAATCGTTGTACTGTTCTCTGGTTCGTAGCGTGCTTGAATATGGGCTCCGTATCATGCTGTACATGTATCACACGTCGGGAGAAGACAATAACTCTGCATTAAAGCTGCATTACGGTGGCTTCAGTGGACCAATCCCGAAAATCTTCCTCCATACGAACATATATCCGCGCTGATTGAACTTCAATCAATGTAGGTTCCTGCAGAGGATGTTCGTTTATGACGGGCTGAGTAACCATATAGCTTCAGAACATCAATATCCAATTCGCCTACTCCGCAACATTTACTTTTTGTGGACTCCTGGGCACCGCACCGCATACGGATATAACAATCCTCTGGATAGATGATGTAGACTATTTAATGACGTGTATGCGGTATTTGATTTTAATATCAGCAGACAAGTTTTTAAGAATAGAATCAAGTATTTTTAAACAGTGTGTGTGGCTATTCTTCCAAGATGGTGAACAAATAAAATAAAAATAAAATAATGGAATTAGGGTGAACCTGAAAACTTAGCGGCGCCAGTGGTGTAGTGTTAAGCATGATTACCTCTCACCCCAGCAGGCCTGGGTTCAATCCCAGTCGGTGCCGCCGGGATGTTCTGAGGCATAACATCTCTGATCACGGCTTCCTTCGGAAGGGAAGTAAAGCCGTTGGTCCCCGGTTCATAAGTTGATGGGTCGATAGATAGGGTCCAGGTGTGGGAGCTGCCTTCCTGGCGTCGGTAGTATTGGGGCTCAGCACGGAAAACAAGATCGACGGAAAACAAATCGAAGGACAAAAAAACCTGAAAAATTTACTATTTAAGTTCCAAATCTTTTGTTCCAAATTTCTCGTGGAAGTCGTCATCAAGAAACTGTTAGAAATTGGGAAAGAAACACATTTTTGCTCAATAAAGCGAATTGATATATCTTAACGATGAAGCGATATCAACGATGTTTTCTATAAAATTCGCCCTTTGCTAATGTTATTTACTCAGTAAAAGGCTAATAAAGGGTGATACGGTCAAAATTTGGTCAAGGGAAAACGCGTGTAAATCGGTGAAATCGTTTATTTAAAAAATCAAATTAAATTTCTTTTTCAAGTTCAATTAGAATAAAATTCAGGAAAAATATTCAGTTAGGCTTCCGCTTTTCCAAATCCGAATTGCCGGGCCTTACGCTTGACCCCTGCCATCAGATTTTGTACAGCCACCTTGTCCACCTTCTTCGCCGCAGAAAGCCAGTTTGCCTTGAACTGCTGCTCGCCCTTAGCAGTTTTTTTGGTCTTCTTTAGGTTCCGCTTGACAATAGCCCAGTATTTCTCAATTGGGCGGAGCTCTGGCGTGTTGGGAGGGTTCTTGTCCTTGGGAACCACCTGCACGTTGTTGGTGGCGTACCACTCCATGGCCTTTTTACCGTAATGGCAAGATGCCAAATCCGGCCAAAACAGTACGGAACAACCGTGTTTCTTCAGGAAAGGCAGCAGACGTTTATTCAAACACTCTTTCACGTAAATTTCTTGGTTGACAGTCCCGGAAGCTATGAAAATGCTGCTTTTCAAGCCACAGGTACAGATGGCTTGCCAAACCAGATATTTCTTTGCGAACTTTGACAGTTTCATGTGCTTGAAAACATCTGCTACCTTTCCCCTTCCTTTCCCCTTCCTTTCGCCGTATAAAACTCGTAGGTTTCGTCGTCCATTACCACGCAGTCAAACTTCGTCAGCATCGTCGTGTACAGCCTCCGGGATCGCGCTTTGGCCGTCGTATTTTGTTTATCATCGCGATTTGGAGTCACTACCTTCTTGTAAGTCGATAGTCCGGCTCGTTTTTTGGCTCGATGCACGGTTGTAGACGATACACCCAGCTTATTTGCGGCATCTCAGAGAGAGAGGTTAGGGTTTCGCTTGAAACTACCGGCAACTCTCTTGGTCGTCTCAGCGGCTTCCGGTTTTCGATTTCCCCCCGATCCAGACTTCCTGGCTGTCGACAAACGTTCCCCAAACACTTTAATTACATTTGTAACGGTTGATTTGGCAACTTTTAGCGATTTTGCCAACTTTGCGTGCGAGTAGCTCGGATTTTCGCGATGCGCGAGCAAAATTTTGATACGCTGCTCTTCTTGCTTGGACGGCATTTTGACAACTGAAGAGTGAATTCCAAAATCAAAATAGGAGCAACATTCTACACACACACACCTTCAAAATGAGGGGTGTTCAGGTTTTTTAAATGCAAAATTGAAAGAAATACGTCAAGTTGATATTGACCAAATTTTGACCGTATCACCCTTTACACATAATTCTTCAAGTAACTATTAGAAAAAAACTCAACTTGAAATATATTAAACGAAAAAATAGAAGCTCGTATTATTTTACTTTGTTCATTTTTATAAATATATATGAGTACAATTAAAAAAATAAAAAGAAATCACTCTATAATCACTTTTGTGAGAAATTTTAAATATAAAAGCTAGTGCTAAAAACATTTTGTATCAGGAATACCCTAATTCAATTTCTAAAAATGACTCTAAATTATAACTTTAAGAAATTTTCGCTCAACTGCATGAAAGCATTTCGTCGCTCAAACTACCTTTCAATTAATTGTAAACCGGTAACATTTTCATCTCTCTTTTTTCATCGATACTTCAATTTTAAATTTTCGCTCCTTAGTACTCAAACGGTTTCAAATCAGGTCCTGATTAGCCTCCCAAAATTTAAACTCATTTGATAAGAAACTGACTTGGCACAAACTATTCGAAGTTTGTATGGAAATTACTATGGGAAAACCAAACTTTTTGTTCATTGTCTTCTACCCATTTTCCATATTGCTTTCTCGAAAATTTCTGTAACTATTCTTACGGGAAATTTTATTAGCTACAACTTTGCGGAAAATCATTTTTCAGCCAAATGTCAAATTAAATTGCTATTAATTGTTTGAGAGATTGATAATCTTATGGCATGATCATGCAGTTGTTCTGTGGGCAACACTGCATTCTGCAGTGTGACATAGTAGCCATGATATTTGTGCTCTATTCTTCGCACCAGAAACACCAATGTTGCCTGCTGAACAGTTGAATGAGCATAATCATAAGACATCAGTGACTTGAATCAATAATAACTTTGTTCCTTACATTTGATTGAAAAATGGTTTTCAACAAAGTTGTAGCTGAGAAAATTTGCTACAATCACTATTATCATTTTTAAAGCATAGTGATGTGGTAAATTGTTAGATGGATATGAACAAAAACATAAGTTTTCCCATAGTAATTCCCATATAAACTTGAAATGGTTTGTGCCAAGTCAGTTTCTTCCTAAAGTAGTTCAAATTTTGGGAGGCTAAGCAGGACCTAATTTGGAACCGTTTAAGCATCCTCTCTCATGTATAATGCGAAAATATCTCCCTCCGAAAACCAACGAAATAGGGGAATGTCGGCCTAAATGCCCCTAACTTGGGCCCATACATAAATTCAGCAATCGACTAAATTTTCAATAGCGACCAAAAATATCCAGCAATACCGTCCCAATGACGCGTTCATCTAGATAAAATTGATAAATAGCAGATTTTTAGCCATGGGCCCAATCTTAGGCCATTTCCCCTAGCTATTTATGCAACGAGTTGCAAAAAGAAGATTTTATCAACACGAGTCGTAGTTTATCCAACGAGGCTTGCCAGCACTGGATGCCAAAAAGTAGTACTTTTCGACACTGTTATTTTAGTTATGAAAAGTAGGCCATTATGTTATTCAAAACAGTGTCGAAAAGTGACACTTTTCAGTAATGTGTCCTAAAAATGCTTTTTCATCTCCCATTTGACACTGAAAACATACAATTGGCGTTGGCGACGTAACACCAATGGAAAATCCTATAAAAAAAACTGTCATTTTGTGTGTGAAAAATGACAGACTGTTCTTTAAGGCCCAAAGGCAATGTGGACGGAAGCGGAACGGAAACGGAAAGTTTGACAGTTGTCACAAATGACATCAAGAAGCCTAACCGATGTCGATTTGGTTCTAACTAGTTTTCAATCCGACAAGTAAGCTTACTAAGATCGGGCTTTTCCGCTGCCGTTGCCGTTCCGCTTCCGCTGTCATTGCGCTTGGGCCTTTACTCTTTCGCTCCACTGAAAAATCCCATATTACTCTGTGTGTGAAGAGCCAATGCCATCAACGCGAATACGATTTAATATGAAGAGCGAAAAACGCCAATCTAACTTGATCTATTTTAACCGGTGCGTTTCTTTTTCACTACAATTGTTTTTTCGGATAAGTGAGAAGAAGAAGAATAACAAGAAAACCAAGAAAAAGCAATCTGTCAAATCATAACTGTTGTATTGCAGCCCTGCTGGGGTGAAAGGCAATCACGCCACCACTACACCACCGGCGCCGCTAAAATGAGAACATTAAGAGATAGAAAAAAATGTTTCTTTAGCAAAGTTTCTTAAAATTAATTCAGTCACAACTTTGCTCGACCACTGTAACATACGTCATTATTTAAAAAAATAAAAAAAGTTAGTTTTTGAAAATCAGTTAATTTGAGGACCACCCTAATGTTTACAACTAAACAACCTGCTAAATTTCTTTTCTGGCCCACTGTGCACTGGCCAAACTGAGCAGTTATAACATGTTATAAGCCTATCTTGATGACATTTTTCTTGTCGATAATTATTATAACATGTTATACCTAGCTCTGTAGTCTGAACAAGATATGAAGGCAAAAAAGGCACTTAGATGTTACGATTTAACTTAATGTAATGTAGGCTGCATACATGTTGGAGTAAACCATGCGTTGTTTATGGCGGTAGATTCAATGAAAGTGTGTTGCTATTTCGTATGTGAAATTTACGATTTTCAGAGTTGGGAGGACAACATGAAGCTTTAGTTGACCAGGAAAGTCGAACAAATTAAAAAAAAAATCAGCTAAGCTTTTTTTTCATATCCTGTGGTACACCAATATACAAACTCTAGCAAACGCTACCAAAACATTTTTTTTTTTTTTTTATCAATTTTAAACATTTTTGATCCACATAATTCTTCTAACCACAATTATCATACTTTCAGGACATTGTACCATTTGGAAACAACATCATCTTCCGCTACCTGTTCGGTTGGTTATTGCCAGTGAAGGTTTCTCTATTGAAGCTCACTCAAACTGAAACGGTGAAGAAAATGTACGAAAACAATCACATCATCCAGGATCTGCTGGTTCCGACCAGCACTATGAAGAACTGTTGCGAAGAGTTCGATCGGCTAGTGAACGTCTACCCTATATGGTTGTGTCCATTCATGTTGCCCAACAATCCCGGTATGCTCCAGCCAGCCAGGGGAATGGAAAGTGATCTCTACGTGGACATTGGTGTCTACGGTGTACCGAAAGACCGTCGGTTTCATCCGGTGCAGACAACCCGTGCGATCGAAGACTTGGTTGAAAATAGCAAAGGCTTCCAGATGTTGTACGCCGACACATATCGCACCCGCGAGGAATTCCGCCGCATGTTCGACCACGGACTATACGACAAAATGCGCCTGAAGTACAAATGTGAGGGCGCTTTCCCAGAAGTTTACGATAAGGTCAACAAGAATGTTCGGGATTAAATAAAAAAAAACTAGAGAATATTGTTCTTTTGCATTTAATTATAGTCTACTAAAATACGTCGTTTTTAATTTTCTTGATATAAGTAATAGCAATTTTCTGTGTTATCAGCATGCAAAAATATTACTATTCTATTTGTGGAATTTGAATTTTGTGTTTTTTTTTTTAAATTACGAGCTATTTTTTGTTCAGTAACGAGTTCATTTGAAAAATTTATAGATTTAAAATAAATGATCAATACATACTAACAAATTCAGCTTTGAGTTCAATAAAAAATTAGATGAATCAGTGTGTTCTTAAATCTTGTCGAACCGAAAGCCGAATCCAAGGAGAAAATAAGTAGGTAGGTTCAATAAATGCTGTTCAAGATCTACGAAGTCTTTCTTTCATTCGAGTACCTTATCTATACATTCGCTTTTAGTCTTTTGTTTGCCTTCCTTCACAGTTTCGCTTATCCGTTTCCATTAAAATACTACGCATTCGATAAAATTAACCGATTTCATTATTTGTAAAATGTTGTATTTTCTGTCTCTGAGATTGATCCGTAATTGGCAGTTTTGTCCTGCTGAATGGTCTCTTGGTTTTTCTTTGTGTGCTGTGTAGTTCCTAAATCTCGCAGTGTATAAAATCACCTGGGCAAAGTTTCGGTATTGTACCCATTCAACAAAAGGAGCAAACATAATCCATGGAGGATGTCAGTTTAAGTGTTAAAAGTGGCAGAAAAGTAATAATATAGCATAAAACAAGACACAAATTTAGCTAGACTAGACTGCTAACAGAAGTTTTAAAAAATCAAAAACATGTAAACACTTTTATTAAAAATCAATTTGACAAAACAATTAAGAAAATATCTACAAGAGAAAAAAAAATCAAAATTATCAATCTTTTACACCTATGTAAGGGTTAATCGCGATTCAGACCCCAGTTATGGCTAGTGTTTTGTCCCAGATAGTATTGAAAACTAGTGTCATTTTTATTAATTTTTATCTACACACATTTATCAAAAAAAAAAAATATTTTCAATGATCAAGCCACTAGGACTTTAACAAAGCCATTTTAAACTCGGAGGTCCTAACTATCTAGCGACGCTTGGAGATGAACTAGTCAGGTGGCTAAAATATCCTTAATAAAGCTTTAAAAAATCCAGCGATGTACACTTACATACTTGCTAAATAGTGATATTTAAATTTGTGAAACCTTCTTGCAATGACAGATAAACCAGCCTACGGTTGAAAATATCTTTAATAAAGATAACCAAAACCAAACATGCACAACAAAGCAGACTAAAAGCAAATTAAAATAAATTTGAAAATAATTCAAATACACTAAAGCATGTGTACTGAAGCTACAAAAAGGATTTTCCACTATAACAGTAGTCAGGTTTCCTCAATGTCACGTTTATCCTAAAATCTTAAAACAAAAAAAGAGCTAGACTAAAGCTAATGTATGATTATATGAAATCAAAACACGATATACGAAAGGTCAAATCGATCAACAGCCAATTCCTACAGCTAAAGCAAGCCATTCCTGCATATCTCCAAACCGTACAGCAGGTGAAAGAGTAATTTAGAATTTATAGTGCACCTTCAACCAAGTGGTCTTAATCGTACGCTAGGAGGTGCCATGCATCGAAATTACTTTTCAGTGAAACGGAGTAGTCTCGTCAGCATGGTTGTCACGCAAGGAATCTGCTTCTGTTGATGCATCATAGGAATCTCCGGAGTGTTTGATTCAAAGTCGTACGCCACACTTTGAGCAACAAATGTCAAAAGAGTCAGTATGTCGTACTTCTTACCATGTTGGTTCAGTTCCTTGCACAGTGACTGCATGAACCAGGACCCCTTCTGGGTATTGCGCCAGGAGTAGAAACCCGGAATGGTAGAATAGGCGATTAGAAAATCGGCGTGGGCCGGAATTTTGTAGCTCATCGAGCCGGCACTGTCCGTTTCGGTGCGCCCCGCTAAGGTGACGCCTGCATCGAGCTGATCTCCCTGGCAAGCCTGAATGAAGAATATTTTCGGCTTTCCAGCCAGCGTAGGGCAGCGATTGGCAGTAAAGAAGGACCAGATTATATCCAACTTGTATTGGCAATCCTTTGCATAAATGTAGCCCAGCTCACCATGCGAAAGGATTGTAATGGATACACAATCGTGGTCCGAGTGGTCCATCATGGCAACTGAAAAACACAAAACAAAACAAGATTGTAAGGGACTGTTCATAAACGAAACATTTTTTTTTTAAGATTCCAAGACCCTTCCAGACCCCTTTGCAAGGACAGTTGTTATTTCTTTTGTTTTTACGTAGGACTACGTCTTTGTGGACTATAATATGGTGCAAATAAAACATAATGTGTGACGAAATAGTGTCCGGTTTTGAACGTGTTAATCCCGCCACGTCCAATGGCCCGACGAGCCCCAGCAGCCCCACCGCTACCACTGTGACGGACGCATACACCTCAACGCGACCACACCCGTGTGTTGGTCAGAGGATCGTCGATCGTATGAAAGTCAAGCGGTCGACGGGTAAAATATGTAAACAAGCCAGAACAATAGCTGAATCGAGGAAGTAAAAAGTAAAATTAATTCTACTCGCAAGTGGTGTTACCTTAATCTACCTAATTTATACTGTTAAACTTAAATACTATCACTATCTAACGTGTCGATTGAACTAGACTACAGTATCTTGATTAACTTATAATACTTTGAACTTATCTAAGGTGAGAACTAGCTGGAAAATTAGTGAAATTATAACTAAACATATCTATATATACATCTAATAGCTACCTACAGCTGAAGAAAACCTTAACTTATAACCATAATATCTTGCTCTATGCAAACTAATTACTGCGGAACGAATCACCAAAAGTAAGTGTAATGCAATATTTATATTTGTGCACGAAACATAACATTGTCCAATGTTCTCAGGAATTTGTAATTTTTTCCATTTCGATCAATCTGCCGGAATAAAATTCACGGATTCAAAAGATTCGTTTTTACCGCCCAACATCTTACAAATTCTTTTGTGGTAAACTTTACGATGTCTGGCAAGGGATCGAAGTCTGGATCGGCCAAAGGCGACCTCGCTAGAACTACGCTCACTGATCGTCGGGAAGACGGAGCGAGCGCGATTTATTCGTCAGCGAGGACCTCGTCTGGCATAGCCGACCCAATAGTCAACACAACTGCAGTTGCTCCTATCAACAGCCCCATTGTCGCTGCGAGTGCACCGAATGCTGCAGCGGTCGCGACGTGCGATGAAGTGGGTTTGACGAACCAGGTAGCCAGCGCATTGCGCACTGCAGCAGTAGTCTCGGCTGATCCGGTAAGGACAGGAAATCCCCCTCCTACCCCCCAGGTAAATGATGACGTTGTTGCAAATAAAGTGTATGCCATGAAGAAAGGAGCAGTTCCGAAGCAATCGGCTTCGACTGTCAACCCTAAAGTTAAATCTGTCCTTTCCAATCTACACGGAAAGGACGTTGTCAGACGCAATCCGGTACGTCATGCGCGGGCATATCGGTTCAATAGCTGTGAGTTGTGTGCAGAAAGTGATAATAGTAGAATGGTGCAGTGTGATGGTTGCGAGAGATGGTTCCACTTCTGCTGCGTGGAAGTTACTGAAGGAATAGCAGAAGTTAGTTGGAACTGCCCAGTGTGTCCAGTAGGGCAGAGCGAAGTCCAACAATCAACCCCAGCGAAAGACGTCCAAGCAGTAGTGCAGGCTGCTAATCCAACCCCAAAGGACTCTGGCGATGCGAAATCAAGCGGAAAGAAAAGCAGCAAACGGAGTGAACAGCGGAAAATTGACTTGAAGCTGCAGAAACTCGAGGAGCAGAGGAAGCTGGAACAAAAGTTCCTGGAAGAAAAGTACAGAATTTTGGAAGAGGTGGAAGATGACAGTGAGACGGATTTGGACAACGAGGATCTCGAGAAAATGTCTACAGTTTCGCAATGGATCAAAGATACGGAACGCGGCGGAGTAGTTCAAGACTCTGGAGTCGAAGAATAGAATCTTTCGGAAGAACCGAGGTTTCCACCTGGACTCGCCGATCAGTCAGTAGTGGTCGACCAACGACAAGTAGGACAGCAACATCGTTCGCAAGGAGGGCGGCGTAACACCATACCAGATTTCGCTCCCGAACAACGTTCTACGCCACAGACGCGGCTTCGTCCAACGGATCCTACCTCTCAGCGTTACTCTACGTTCCCGGCATCCATGTTAAGACCGCAGTTTCTCCCTCGACCATCAGTGACCGGTCCAACGCTCACGGCAATGGAACCTGAACCAATTCCTGTCGAGGAGACCATATGTATCCTCAACCGAAGCCAGATGGCCGCCAGGCAAGCAGTATCTAAGGACTTGCCTGAATTCTATGGAAACCCCGAGGACTGGCCACTTTTCTTCTCGATGTACACCTCATCAACACAGATGTGTGGCTTTTCCAATGAAGAGAACATGCTTCGTCTACGTAAGTGCCTAAAAGGAAAGGCACTGGATGCTGTAAGATGTCGGTTGCTACATCCTTCCAACGTGTATGGTGTCCTTACAACACTGAAGATGCTCTACGGCAGGCCAGAAGCGATCGTTCAAGCAGCGATAAGGAAAATTCGTTCAGTACCACCCCCGGAGATCGATCGTCTAGAGAGTCTGGTCAACTTTGCGCTCACTGTCGAAAATTTAGTAGCAACGATAGAAGCCTGTGGGGTACAGGACTTCGTGTACAACGCCTCACTCAAGCTCGAGTTGGTAGATCGATTACCGTCGATGCTGAAGCTGGACTGGGTGAAATACACTAGAGGCAATCCGGCCACAAATCTCGCGGACTTCAGTACCTGGTTATACTCCATGGCGGAGGATGCAAGCGCAGTCATGCAGACGTCCATCAACGCTCCACGAAGTCGAGTCAACAAGAAAGATGGATTCATCAACGTCCACACCGAAACTAGCAACGATCGATCCGGATTCTCTGCAGCTCCAGCTAAAGATACGCGTACCCAATCGAGAGATTCTCCAAAGGAATGCCTTGTATGCAAAGGTTCTTGTCCGTCACTTGCTAAGTGCAAAAGGTTCGTCGAGCTGAGCTACGAGTCGAAGTGGGCAGTAATACGGGAAGCAAAGCTGTGCCGTAAGTGTCTTCGCAAACACAACGGCACCTGCAGACAGCAAAGCAAATGTGGAGTTAGAGAATGTACCTACCTGCACCACCCTTTGCTTCACTCCGAGAGAACCGAAGCCTCCAGAAACGGCTCCCGGGTGGAAGCTGCTACGAACACCAGTTGTAACGTTCATCAAGGGCAGACAAACGACGTGCTATTCCGGATTGTTCCAGTTGTGCTCCACGGTCCGTCGAAGATGATTCAGACGTACGCTTTCATCGATGATGGGTCCGAGCTAACCCTCATGGAGCATTCTCTTGCACAGGAGCTTGGGTTACAAGGACCAAACAAAGCACTCTGTTTGAAATGGACAGGTGGTAGCAGAAGAATGGAGAACGAATCTCAAAAGGTAGAGGTGGTCATCTCTTCTGTGAGAAATACATCCCAAAAGTACAAACTGGCGGATGTTCGGACTATACATGAGCTGAAACTCCGGCCACAAACCCTGATAGCTTCGGAAATGCAGAGTCAGTATAGTCATCTCACTGGGATCCCCTTCGATTCCTACACTGAAGTAAGTCCGCGAATCCTGATTGGACTGGATAACGCGCAACTTGGGCATGCGTTCAACAGTCGCGAAGGAAAACCATCCGAACCGATTGCCGTCAAAACCCGTCTAGGATGGATCGTGTACGGGAGCTGTTCGTCCAATCATCTCGGAAATCATGTAAACTACCACGCTGTACAAGCGTGCGAGTGTAACGAAGGTTCTGACGAAAGTCTCCATGCAGCAATGAAAAACTACTTCACTCTCGATAGCATGGGCATCTCTAAGCCTGACAAGTTACCGCTCTCCGTAGACGACCAGCGTGCTATGGACATTCTGGAAGTGGTGACACTACCCAAGGACGGCCGCTATGAATCAGGCCTTCTTTGGAAGTATGACGCAGTGCGGCTTCCCGATAGTAAAGCTATGGCTCTCAGGAGATGGGAGTGTTTAGAGCGGCGGATGAAGAAGGACGAAGGATTGGCGGAGGCACTACGTGCAAAAATGGCCGAGTACGTCCAGAAAGGGTATGTCCGGAAGCTGAGCGGAGATGAACTGAGGCATCGTCAACCGCGTGAGTGGTATCTGCCAGTGTTTCCGGTCTATAATCCCAACAAACCCGGAAAATTGAGGTTGGTTTGGGATGCAGCAGCTACCGTCCAAGGAATCTCCTTGAACTCGGTTTTACTGAAAGGACCCGATCAATTGATGTCTCTACTGTTAGTCTTGATTCAGTTCCGGGAGTTTCGAGTCGCGGTATGCGGGGACCTACGAGAAATGTTCCACCAGGTGTTGATGAGGGAGGAAGACCAGCATTGCCTGCGATTCTACTGGAAGGAAGATGCGGAGGATGGTGCGCCGGATGTGTATGTTATGAAAGTGATGACATTTGGCGCCTGCTGTTCGCCTACGACAGCCCAGTATGTTAAAAATATCAATGCGAAACGATTCGAACACGAGTGCCCGCAAGCCGTCGATGCCATTGTGAGGAAGCATTATGTTGACGACATGCTTGCCAGCGTCGAAACGGAGGAAGAAGCTGTAAAGCTGGCACAGGACGTGAAACGCATCCATGCCGCAGGAGGTTTCGAAATGCGAAATTGGCTGTCCAATTCATCGACCGTACTGGCGTCCCTGCAGGCGGCAGCGACTAACGAAAAGAACCTCAGTGCTGGAGAAGAAGGAAACGTCACCGAAAAGGTGTTAGGCCTTTGGTGGAATACGACTACGGACTGTTTCACTTTCAAGTTGTCTCCAAGGTACGACCAGGACCTGCTGTCCGGGGACCGTCGACCCACTAAACGTGAGGTGCTTCGAACGCTTATGATGATGTTCGACCCGCTTGGCCAAAAATGCATGAACGAAAGGGCAACTCCACAACCGCCGACCATGAGTGATCTGCCGCCATCACGTCTGGCTGCGTACTCTCGTCCGTTCACGCATATGGGGGTGGATTATTTCGGGCCGATCATGGTATTCGCCAACCGTAAAACAGAGAAACGCTGGGTGTTGATAGCTACCTGCCTGACCATC